ATAACCAAGATGAGATAAAAAAGGAGATTGCCAAACATCGGAGTGAATTAATTGTAATGGAGCATTCACAGTATGTAAAACATCTTGAAAAGGTAAACGATGGGATTTTCCCAGTCTACAAGAAGTACATAATTGACGAAAATTAGTAGATAAAAAAATAGAATGTGTGCGCCGAAGAGTAGACAATATGCTATCACCACAATGACCTAAGCGTTTGTGCCATACCGGACCAGGTGCAGAGGAAGTAAAGAGAGCTAGCGGTGATGAAGAGACCGTGAAGGGATAGGTCATATTCTTATTGGAAGCGTGGAGTAGAGTTGCCCCCGTTTGATTGTCCTTGACAAAAAAAGAAGTATTACAAAATGCAGTACAATCATTATCCTCACACAACTTTTGAATAGACAGTAAATTAAATTTAAGTTGAGGAACATGATATACTGATTTTAGACAAAGTGGGTGACCAAGAGAAGGTAAATGTACATTGCCAATCATAGACACAGATAAATTAGTACCATTAGCTACCTGCACATTAATGGGGTTAGTAATAATGAATTTATTTCGTAAAATACCTTCGTTTGGCATAATATGAGCTGAGGCATCAGAATCTGGATACCATGTCGCTTCATTGGTCTCACCGGTTGGTAAAGTAGCTAGGGCCGGAGAAGATCCAGATGTGAACTTGGAACAAGTGATGGCGGAGTGACCCGGTGTGAAACATAACTGACATACTACGGGGGGCGGGGGGATGCATAAGTGTGATCAACTGATGGGAAACCTGCACTGTAAGTATGAGTACCACGACTATAATAGTGAAACAGATGAGAAATTACCAGAGGAATATTACCCATACCTGCACCGGGTGATCCCGAAGTGTGGAATGCATGATGTCTTGCGTATTGGTAATCATAGCCACATGGATAGGGCTGCTGTCCAGGGGTACCGAGGTAGCCATACCCTCTGCCACGGCCCCGGTGACCCCGCTGTGAGCGTTGGCTGCGACCACCACGGCCTCCCCGAGGTTGTGCTCCCCCTCGGCCCTGATATGAATTCTGGGGACGGACTTGTGGACTGAAAGAGGACTGCCCAGCAACTGCAAAAGCCTGGTGCTGCGATAAAGGTGCATCCGTCCCTCTCATATACTGGAGCCAGTGCTCCTGGAGTTCTAAAATGGGCCCCATCTGGTCAAAAGTAAACGTGGGAAGGATATATGCCAAGCCGCCTAATATTGACTCAAATTCCGGGCCAAGACCAAGAAGAGTATACTCGATAAGATCCTTGTCACGAACCGGAGAATTGATGAGTGCTAAGGAATCCGCGGCAACCTTGATTTCACGAAGATATTGGTCCATGGTTTGATTGGCCTTTTTCTTTTTCGTAGAAAGTTGACGTTTAATTTCCATAGACCGGGCAGTACTCGTAGACATAAACTTGTTTCTAAGGTGTTCCCAAATTTGATAAGAAAATTTAAGTTCATGCACATCAATCAAAATATCCCGAGAAAGTGTGGCGAAAAGCCATGAACGGACAATTTGGTCTATTTTCAACCAAAGTTGATAGTCCGTGTTAATGATCTCCCTACGAGAAGCATCCAAAATAAACAGAGAGGGAATGGGAATGGTACCATCTAACACACCCACCAAATTATGGGAAACCAAAAAAGATTCGAACTGTGTTTTCCAAGGTAAATAATCCTCAACCGAAGCTAAACGAGTGGTAACGATATTCATAACATTGGGGGTGGAGAATGTCAACTGAGATGCCATAGTAGTAAGAAAAGATGTGGAATTACTAAACCCAGACGGTGAGTGATGCGGCTGCCTGGAAGATGACTCAACGTCAAACTGTCCACCAACGATATGATTGAAAGGCAAAGACGAGGCACTTGTCTGGACTGCAGCGGATGTGTATGTAGAAGAAGGGGCGAATGTCGGCTGCCAGGTAAAAGGTTCTGGCATCTGAAAAAGTGAATAGTTTGATACGTGAGGGCTGGTACCACTGAAAATAGTCGACGACGGAAGGATTGTCTGCTCCTGCATGAAGGGTTGCGGGCGACTGACGAGGGGCTGCTCCAACGAAGAGGATGTGGGCGCCTGAGATGAATGAATGAAAACCGCGGTGGTAACGTCCGGCTGGGTGTCATCGACGGTGAAAGAGGCCTGAGAATCAATCGATGATACAATTGTAGGCATGGCGGAAGTCATGGCTGAGGGCGTTTAGGGTTAGGATCGTATCCTCAGCAGTCTGATACCATATGAATAATTAGAGGGAATGGCTTACCCTTAAGGTAGCCGTATACATGTATATATAATAATCCAAGAATAAGTAATTACAAGAGTATCCCTACATTATTATCTATTATGTGGTACAACCGTCTCAGTGAATATTTGTTTAAAGAAGGATATAAAAATGATCTTATTAGTCTATGTGTTTTCATTCAGCGATCCGAATCAGGATTCGCCATAATTGCAGTATACATTGATGATTTAAACATTATTGGAACTCCCAATAAATTTGAAAATACTGCTAAATATCTCATGAAAGAATTTGAAATGAAAGGCCTCGGGGGGGGGGGGGGGGGGGCAAAAAAAATTCTCGGCATTCAAATTGAACATTTGAGAAATGATATTTTTATCCAAGAATCAAACTATACTGAAAAACTTTCGACGCAGTTTTACATGGAAAAAGCTCACCCGCTCAATTCTCCAATGGTGGTTCGATCTCTCAATGTTCATGATGATCCTTTTCGGCCTTGTGAAGGTGATGAAGAAATTATTGGTCCCAAAATACCATATTTGAGTGCTATAGGAGCATTAATATATTTGGTTAACAATACCCGGCCAGATATTGCTTTTTCTATAAATTTATTAATTAGCCATGCACAGTTCTTCCCCGACAAGAAGACATTATAATGATGTCAAACATAAATTCCGCTATCTCAATGGTACAATCGACCATGGACTGTATTTTGAGAATGGTGCAAATGCCACTTTAGTTGGCTATGCCGATCCACAAAAGGCAAAATCACAAACAAAATATTTATTTGCTCATGATACCACTATCTCTTGAAGATCAATGAAGCAAACATTAATTGCCACATCATCAAATCATGCATAATTAATTGCTCTTTATGAATCAGACCGATAGTGTGTCTGGTCAAGATCAATGATCCAGCACATACAAAATGGATGCGGTATAAAATCTTTTACTTGTAATCCTAATGTGATTTATGAAGATAACACGACATGTATAACTCAGATCAAACGAGGTCACATCAAAGGGGATAGAACAAAGCATATATCACCAAAACTTTTCTCTAGACATGATCTTGAGAAAGAAGGAACGGTTGATGTCAAACAAATCAAATCTTGCGACAACCCTGCTGATTCATTCACAAAGTCATTAACACCGAAGAAATTCAAAGAATTGGTCCACAAAATTAGAACGTGTCGTCTTCGAGATATACGAAGTATGTTAAATTGAGAGGGAGTAATACAATGCACTGCACTCTTTTTCCCTTCGTCAGGTTTTTTTATCCCACTGGTTTTTTCCTGACAAGATTTTTAACGACACAATACATTATGATACTATGAAACTTATACCCTAAAATAATTAGAATATTGTCATTCAAGGGGGAGTGTTGAAATATAATTAAATTATTCATCTTCCAACAATTCTATATTAGGAATTATTATCACCATTATATTAATATTTAGGAAATCATAATTATGATTTTAAGGTGATAAATGTGTATCTCATAATGATCTCCTAATCTCATTGAGCTCACACTTTCTCCTATAAATAGGAGTCATTCTCATTGTGATTAAAACTCCATTATCACACTCTCAAGAACACCTATATACATAATATAATCTCTCCCTAGTTTTCTTCTTATTTCTGATAGAGTATTTAATTCTAGAGAGAAGTGGGAGCTAGAGAGAGAAAGTGAACAATTAATATTTTTCAACCCCCTATAACTAGCCCCAAGGGGTCTATTTATAGGTAAAAATGTGGATTTGGGCTCATAGCCTTGGGCTTAGGAGGCCCATTACAATAATCATGCCTTCTTTGGGCGGAATATGGCCACTAATGGGCTCAGTACAACACTTAGCAAAATAAAGCAAGAAGGTACATTCTGCCAGGAGCCATCCTGGCCGATGCGGTCCTTTTGGCCGATGCGGCCTCATGGCCGGCGAGGCCCATCTGTCCTCCAGGCGGTGTCCTGGGCTAATCCGGTTCTGGCCGTTGTGGGCCCCACTGGGCCGAAGTGGGCCACATGATGTTCTTCTGGCATCGTTGACTTTATGAGTATGTGGGCCATGGGGTCCAGACCCATATACTCTTTCAATTTCCTTCCATTTTTATAACAGGCACTTCATTAAAATTATGCGCTCAAATAATTCACATCCATTGGAAAACCACTATTATTTGTTTATATGTACCTTTAACACAATAAGGAAAATTAGAGTTGTTGGTGACCTTGGATATTAATATTTGTATTATCATTTGAGAATTGAGTAACTTTATTTGAAAATAAGTTTTAAGATATAAAAGGACAATGTGTTCTCGTTCAAGCTTTACCGGCCCCACCTGAATACGTCAAATCCGAGCTATCAAAACCCTAACTCGAACAACATAAAATAGTTCTTGTTTCGGGTCCCTAATTTTCACCAACCGAATTTTTCCGGGTAATATTCGTGACATGAGCTATATTAAGAGCCCGTTTAGTAACACTGAAATCGACTGAAATTTATACAGTTCTGGCTGCGTTGGCGGATTCTGTGGAGTTATAAAAAAATCATATTTAATATATATTTTATTAATAAAAAAAAATTACTTGAAAAAAATAGCTAAAATGGTTTTTTACCGTAACTTCAGCCAAAAATGCAATACTACTTCTGTAGTTCTGTCATTATAACCAATCGTTGTTCGCCAGGTGTCAGGTGAGCTTCCCGTCTCGGTAATGACGCGTCAATCATATTGATGACCCTCTCAGGTCTCACCCGGAATCGGACTTTCAGTCTTTCACCTCCCTCAGAATACGCGCTATCTGATCGTTATCACGAAACAGATTATTTCGTAAAAAGCTAGAATCGGCGTAGGTCGGATCGGAAGTCATATCAATTGTAGGCGAAGGATGGCGGAAGACAAATACAATCTGAAGAATCCAGCCGTGAAGAGGATTCTTCAGGAGGTCAAAGAGATGCAGTCTAATCCTTCCGATGATTTCATGAGCCTCCCTCTCGAGGTAAGTTTTTATTGCAAACATCGTATCTATTCGTGCTTGCAGTTTATTGAAGACTGCTCAGTTCATGGTTGAGTTTGATTTAGGGATGGAATACTCACGGTTTGAGGATATGAAATCGAATTATAATACGGTTATGTGGTCATATTGATTGCGCTCCTGGTGATTGTTATTTGTGGATATTTATGAATCTTTTATTTATTTTAGCTTACATTATATTAAGTAAAACCCTTTTTTAAATGGATATAGCTTCCACTGTTTCCCCTTCTGCATTTATTCTTTTTTGAAACAAGCCGCTTGAAATTGTGATTCAGTGAATAACTGAATAATATGTTTCAATAACCAAAGATCGCCCTTTCTTAAAGAAGCTGCTTGCAAATCTCTTGCTGAAAAAAGTTGCTTTCATTTACTGCCTGGGTGCCGTTTTCTATCTCAATCTTCCCATGGCTTTCATATGGCCAAAAGCTTCACCTAACCTGTTGTGAATTTGTTTGCTGTCAAAGCTGTGTTTTTAAGAAAAAGGCAATCTTTTGTGGAGGCTATGTATGCTATATCTGTGTACTGTGTACAACAATGATATTTGTACTCATCACTATGGCACCTACTACAATCCAACATCATAACAGTAATGATTGTAATTATAAATATAAAAAGGTATGGTTGGGTGCCTGTCAAAACCAAAGTGTTTGTAAAAATACATTGACAATCTGTGTATATTGTTAATCTACCTTCTCATCATTGCAAGGAAACTAAAAGCAGCAGTTTTTATACCTTTCAGGAGAACATATTTGAGTGGCAGTTCGCAATTCGGGGCCCCCGAGATTCAGAGTTTGAAGGAGGAATATATCATGGTCGGATACAGTTGCCTGCTGAATATCCTTTCAAGCCACCTTCTTTCATGCTTTTAACTGTACGAATTCAATTGTCCATATGGATGTTATGATCTGTAATTTCATTTTCCTCGACTACTTTAGCTTGCCGACATATGGAGTCTGTCATTTCTAGGTTTTTATTTTATTTTTATACTTTAGTTGTTTCCTAATGAGGATTGGTTGCCATTTCAGCCCAATGGTCGCTTTGAGACTCAAACCAAGATTTGTTTGAGTATATCAAATCATCATCCTGAGCACTGGCAGCCATCATGGAGTGGTGAGTATGTTTTTAATTTATTCATTCAATCATGAGTTTATGAATTATGACACATGCCACAGAGTATATGTTGGGCTAGGGACTTGAGACTTGAGAGTGGTAAGCTCACCTTTCATCCCTCCCTGATGTCGCAGACTCGTAGCTGCTGAAAATATATACTTCTTCCGTTACATAATACTATATTTGTCCCATTAACACTAAGACATGAGGTGGTGGTGTGGATATTAAGAAAAATGTTTTTTTTGGTTGATATTGAATTGATAAAGTAAGAATAAAGTAAGAATAAAGTAAGAATGATTTGGGATGTTTTTACTTGGACCGAAACTTGTTGGTCTTGTCTTTTTAAGTCTATTCTAGTCTGAACTGGTCTGGTTTGTTCTGATAAATGTCTGGTCTCTGCATATTTTATAACTGTGGAAGTCTGGTCTGGGACGGAAAACAGTCCAAGTAAAAACATCCTTAGAACCAGACAAACTTACCACATTTGGTATGGAACAATCTTAGTGGGACGAATCGAAAAGGAAAGATGAGACAATCTTAACGGGATAGAGGGATTAAGTGTCATTTTATTGAACTTATCGTATCAAGATGTTTATCATTTTATAAAATCAAGAGATCTGATGCTGATTTTCCACATTTGCTCTTGTTTTGCGCCTCAACAAAAGTAAGCAAGATTCAAGAAGGGGTCATCATCATTATCATTACCCCAATGCCACAAAGGCTTCCACCTATGGTAGGATAAGAGTGGTCGGATGTACGCAGTCTTACCCTTGTACTAAAGCATAGAAATATTGTTTCCAGAGGATTCAAGAAGGGGTATTTGCTGAATTTAGTTTAGGCATAACACCACCATTTTTGTGCTCGTAAGGTTTTAAGATGTTTAATGAACTCAATCGGTAGTGTGTTTTATCCTTAAATGATACGTACTGTGCGAGTGCGAGGCTAGAGGAGCATCAACAACAACAACATCCAAGCCTTATTCCCAAAAGATTTTGGGGTCGGCTAACATGAATCGATCCATGATATCAAAGCCAAAAAGAGAGTGAGGCTAAAGGAGCGTGAAAGAAAAATCATGAAGTATAGTTGTTGCCTTATGTATGATATTTTAACTCTGTAGGAGTTGTGTCCAGAAGAGAAACCCCGGAGCAGTTCCTTACTATTGTTAATTTGTTATGTTTCATGTGTTGCAGTTCGGACTGCATTGGTTGCACTGATTGCATTTATGCCAACCAACCCAAATGGTGCTCTTGGGTCATTGGACTATAAAAAGGAAGAAAGACGCATTCTAGCGATAAAATCCCGTGAGGCTTCTCCAAGGTTTGGGAACCCTGAGCGCCAGAAACTAATAGATGAGGTTTATTACATTTTCTTTTGTCTCCATTGTTGTACACATTCCCGCCTATCCCGATCAAACCCCACATATCTGTTACGGATATTGGAAGTCAGGGAAAGGGAGGGGCGTTATTCATTTATGGAATTTTATTTATCCAGGGCCTGAAAGATAAATGAACTATCAATAAGAGCCCTGAAAGATAAATGTGTCAATATAGGACCCAAATGATCGAAAACTATCGATCTAAGACCTAAATTATGAATTTTATTATTTTTTATTTTAAATATTTTAAGTATTATTTAGTATTATTAAATTAATAAACTTTTGTGAAGAATAATTCATCAAAAATCAGCATTGGGGTTAATAAAAAATTAAATGAATCAAAATCAATGATATTTTAGGTCTTTGGTAGTTTTTAATCATTCAGGCCCTATATTGACACAATGATACGTTTCATCTTTCAGGTCCTGGGTTAATAAAATTTCATTGATTTTTTTAGTAATTTACTTTAAGAGTAGTAAATTGTAAAGAAGGCAAAAGTGATGAGATTGATATACATGATTTCACAAAGAAGATATGCGCTCCATTTGAAAAACAAGTTTTGTTTGAGCAAGTATAATTTTTTAATTATTTATAGTTGACTCAATCAAAGAACAAAATGTCCAAGTATAATTTTTTAATTATTTATAGTTGACTCAATCAAAGAACAAAATGTTACATGCTACGAGTAAAGATTTATACCCCTAAAGCTCATTTCCATGAATTTTACGTGAAAAAACTAGAGCTGACTTTTAGTACCAAACACTTCTTTTTTGGAGACATGAAGTTCTTGAAATTAGACTTTTTTAGTGGTTGAAGTAGTACTGATTTTCTGACAGTGCCTATAAATATGGACTACTGTTAAATTAGTAAAAGTGGTTTCACCCATCCTCTTCGCTTCCTCTCCTCTGAAAGCCTCAAACCAGCAGGTGTGAGTGCCTTGCTTAACAGCAATAATTCCCAAACTTATCATTAAGCCCAGTCTACCTTCTAGCAGTCGCCTAGCTGGCTTTATACAACACTGCACTTCCACAATTAACTTATCACATTTTACTCCAATGCGTACGATTTATTTATTTACTCTTCTGTGCAGATACACGAGTACATGCTGAGCAAGATTTCCGAGGCAACTACCCCTACTGCCTCGCCCCCTGAAGAACAGACCACACACAAAGATGGTGATGCTCAGGAAATTACGGCTCAGAACACCATCACAGAGTCTGACGAGGATGGAATTGTTGAGGCACGAGAGGAAGCCCCATTGGTTGCACATCCCGTGCAGGCATCTTCCAGAGTGGTTGTTCCCTCCTCACACCATCAGGAGGAGCATGCACGACTGCACAAGCCTGAAGTGAGAGTCTCCTCTAGGCAAGCTGATGACCGTATGCTTACTTGGGCAGCTGTTGGACTTACCATTGCTATAATTGTTCTTCTTTTGAAAAAGTTCATGAAAGCAAGCGGTCACGGAGCTGTTTTTATGGACGAGTCTTAAAATCTAAGGCATGGTAAAATATGGAGTAAATTATTATTATTATTGAGAATTTGACGGGCCATCAAATGTGAGAATATAATGTAATTACTTTCCACTTGGCTGTCACATCTGTTTTGCCCCCTTAAAACCTTTATATGCATGTTTTTTAATTAGATATGCTATATGCCTATATGTAAAAAATATGTAACATGTTGATGTCTTTAGATATTGAGATCTTGTAAGTTGTAATCTAAATATTTTCAGCTAATTACACAGTAAGAAAAACTATTTTTGTTCCTGATTTGAATGTTTTGTTGTAAGCTTAACTGCTTTTCATGCCTTCTGTTTGTAGGCTACAAATATACTGGGGGATACAAACACACACACTCGCACACTTGCTATTTTTCACCAAGTATTTTCCAAAATCTTTTTAGGAAATACAATTAGTGCTCTACTAAATATTCTTGAGGTTCCCCTTTACCTAAATATAAATGTAAGATTTTTAAAATTAATTTGCAAACTATTTGCTAAGCATGTACCTGTTCATCATGAGGTGTTTGACTGAAACTACTTTGATCATCACCTCAAGATGGCCACAATCCTGCTCTTGTGTTTTCTAGCATGGTAGTTGTATGAAATGATCAGTTGATGAATTGATATGTGAGCATAGGGGTGGACTCGGGCCGGTTCGCGGTTCAGAAATTATAGGCCCGAGCCCGAACCGCTGGTGGCCGGTTCCGGTTCCGGGCCAAACCGGGCCGGGCCGGGCCAACCGGCCCACATATTTTTTTTGGGTTTTTGGTTCTCCTATTTAACCCCTACCCCTCCCCCTCAACCCCAAACCATCCCAAACCACCTCAAATGGCCCAAAATACCTAATTCAACCTAAAACTTAAAAAAAATAAAAAAAAAAAATTAAAATCCGGCCCGGACCGGGCCCGAACCGTCCGGGCCAGTTCACCAAAAGCTGGGCCCGTGCCCGGACCGCCCAGCACCCGGGCCGAGCCAAACTGAACCGGTGGACCCACCGGGCCGCGGGCCAGGCCGGGCCAAACAGTGACCGGGCCAGGCCGGGCCAAACAGTGACCGGGCCAGGCCGGGCCGACCGGCCCGACTCCACCCCTATTTATAAATGAAAATCTCGATCATGATGTGCAGATACAATAAGTAAACCGGTTGTTAAAAAAGAGAAAATTCCTTAAATATGAGTAAAAAAGTTTTTGAAATTTCAAAATAGGATTGTTATGTTTTTATTTTATAAGAGTAATTTCTGTCAAGTTTGACTAATCAGACTTTTAACATGACAGTTTTTGTCAAGTTTTTCCAAACATGGCAAAAATTATCCCTATTTAGATAATAAATCATGAAAGTCCTAATTTGGAATTGCAAAGCGTTTTTATTTATATTCATGGCAATTTTTATTAAAAAAATCTGTGCATACAAATAGTCTTGGACTCGGGCCGGGCAGGCTTTTGATTTTTGGGGTGAAGGCCCGAAACTGGCCTGGGTTACCACCGGGTTCGAGTCTGGTCCGTTTTCTTCTTCTTTTCTAATTAACCCCCGACCCCCCCCCCCCTCCAAACACCCAGCCCAACTCAAGAAAAAGCCCCAAAAAATGAAAAAAAGTAAGAAGACCCGAACCGGGCCCGAAACCTGCCGGGCCGATTCCAAAGACAGGGCTGAACCGGGATCGCCCCGCCCTAACCCCTGGGACCGGGCCTAGGCCCGAAACCAAAACCGGTTCAACGGGCCAGACTTGCACAGTAGCGGGCCGGTTCCCGAGTCGGGCGTTCCGAACCGGGTCCAAGAGTGCATACAAATTGACATTTTTATATTGCAAAAACATTTAATGCTCTCGTATAAAGTCTTGACATGAATGAAATAATGTTCAATCTGTATGAACATGTTCACATAGAGAAGCAAACATTAGAGAGACAACATCTATTACCATTGTTAGTCAACTCCCTCTCAAACCTTGCAAAGTAGTGCATCACATTTATGGAGCAAGGTGCAGTAGTGGCATGATATACAAGGGACAAAGCTAACAAAGGGACACAAACATTGGCGATTTTCATTTTTGGTTTATATATCACACCTATTGAGTTTTTTTGCAAGACCATGTAAACGTTCATAGAATATGTGTTGTTTTTTTGTTGCAACAATGACCCTTTCCTATATTTTTGACTGAATGGACCATAATTTGGCAAAATGCACGCATACAACCATACAATAATTCAAACGAAGTACATGTACGGTAATTGATAATGATAATGAACATAAAGGGTGGAGCAAAACTCAAGAATGCACACAAAGTATATAATTATATCCTATGCATTGTTCTAAAAATCGGCCTAGGCGGACCGATTAATCGGCCTAGGCGGCCTAGGCGGCCCTAACTGTAGAGGCCGAATCGGCCTAGTCGGCCAAAAAATCGGCCTAGTCGGCCTAAACATCGGCCTAGTCGGCCGCCTAGGCGCTAGGCGCCTCTCAACCGCCCGACTAGCGCCTAGCGAGTTTTAGAACAATGATCCTATGAGGTGACCTCCTCACCGTCGTCAAACTCAGAGGACCCTTCCTCCATGAAATGAGACCCAAACATTCTGAGTTATCCAGCCCGAGTTTGTTTCAGTTGAAGTCGACCAGCCTGGATAGTCGGTGCTTTGGGACTCATTATCCGAGGAGACCGCCTAATTCGCATCGCAGATGATAACAATATGTAAATCCTCATCATCCTTACACAATTCGGAATGAGGTGATGGACACCATTCAACATCCCCCAGTTCAAGGAGTACTGACTCCATTTTAGATTCATACGGACCCATGCAAAAGAAGGATGCTTTGTAAATCAGAAGGTCTGAGATGGGGGGCAGACAATTGGTCCGGACAATATCAACCTTAACTAAAATCCAACATTTTACAGAAAAGTTTTATTCTCAATCAACCTTAATTAAAACCCAACAATATTATTACTCCATACAAAATAATAAAAATGAATAATAATAATATTCCATAATAATATTAAGTAAAGGGGTCGTCCCTCTAGTAGGTTTTTTTTATCCGCCATTTTTGTGCGGCTTCTTCTTCTTCAATCCACGAGTCGTCGACTCATGAATGCAGATGAGAATTAATACGGTAGGGGTAGGAGGGATGCGGCAGTCGCTCAACAACGAAGAAACAGCGCCAACAAGCGGTGGACAGATGGAACAATTAATAAACAAGTATGATACTCTAGAAATTGTGTCTGAGACGAACTAATTGGTGCTCGATGATGATAATGGCGTCTCCAATTCAGAGGAACACAACGAGGAGGCATTTTTGGCCATCGGTATGTTGCTTACAGACAAGTTGGTGAAGTTTCAAATCTTCAAAGACTTAATGGCTGCTCCGTGGCGCCCGCGCAAGGGAGTTTCAATCAAATAAATTGACGATAGTGTATCTTATAAAGTCTTATCAAATTGTTGACCTGAACCGTCTGCTTGACAATGGACCATGTTTGTTTGATCAAAATCTGTTGGTATTAAGAGCTATACAATCGGGGGATATTCCTCTCTGGGTCCCCTTGAATTCGACTGAGTTATGAGTGCAAGTGCATAATGTGGCATATGGCTACCCTAATCTAGCAAGTAGCAACTTCTAGGCGAATTGGGAATTATTTGAGGAAATTTGTTAAATGTGGTGATAATCAATTTGATGATAAATGGGAGGCTTATATGCGTGTTAGAATTTGTATGGACGCATGAAAACCCTAGAAGGCTGGTACAACTATTAAGAAAGGTAAAGGGGAGGGCTATCGGGTGACTTTAAGTATGAAAAACTGTCCAGTTTCTTATTTGTGTGTGGAGTTATAGGACATGCAGAAAAATTTGTCCATTAATTTACGAGAAAGGAGACACGACTCTGACCATTAATTTCGAGTGGGTAGGTTGGGGGGGGGGACCTTTCCCCTCTCTGTATAACAATAAGTGGTTGGTTTAACAGGGAAGTTCAGCAGCAACAGGAGGACCCGGTGGTGGAAGAAATGACTCTTGACGAGCCTAAAAACGGGGCAGTGGCGGGTGCTGCCCACTCAAGCTTTTGAGAATCCAGTTGCTCGTGCTGTTGGGAGGACATCTTTATTTAAGTTATTCTGTTTTTTATGTTTTGTTTTTATTTCGAACTGAATGTTGCGCGTTTCGTGTTTTTGGTTCCTAGTAGAAAAACTTTAGAATTTAAGTCAGGTGATGAGAAGTCTCATTAGTTCGTCATTGGCGCAAGTAAAGCCATTATAGGATCAACGAATCTTATTGCTTCTACGGAAGTAATAAATTCTAAGTCTGGTTCGAGAATCTACATTAGAGCATCCACATTGATGATCTTCAACCTTACGGTTTTTCATGGCTTATTATTGACATGTCACCTCCACATAAGATAATCATAAACAATCTCCAAATCAATAAATTTCTCCCATTCATGATCTTAATTTAACTCGGATAGGAGCATGAGCATGCACGAACTACAAAACTAGTCATCGCCATAATTATGAGTATATGCCTAGAAATTGCAAATAATCTCAAAATAATCCAACTTTAGAATTTGATACCAGATTATTTTATCAAATAATCTCATAAAATAATCTCAACTCCTCATCCATGATCCAAAAAAATCTTCCACATCATCAAAATGATCCCAAAAATAATCCATGGATGTAGATGCCCTAAGGCTTAAGACTTTTTATTGTTTTGTAACATGCTTAAGTTTTATTGATACTAGTATATAGTAGGAGTATAAGTTAGCTTCTTCCAAAAAAATAATACTCCATAATAATTACTCCCTATAATATTGATGAATATAGAATGATTATAATATAATGATGATGAGAATTCGTACGTATTGCAGTAGAGATCCGAACAACCCGACCGGTTCAAATAATTGCACGGTCCGCAATGTATGCGCCTGGATATGATCGCTCACATACTTCCAAACTAGGCCGTTTCTGACCTCGCCAAGTCCATACACGTTGTATTTGTCTTGCTTATCAAGACGCAGTGGGAACGTTTTCTCAATCATATTCTGCTCTTCAGATTGTATATACAAGCGTGCATACGCACTGCAAGGGTTCCTGATTTTTACATTAAATGGCAGTTTGTGAAGAGCGATCACCATTATTCTCAACGATCAACTCGTAAGCTGAATTGAAGGATCACATTTGGTCACAATGTTCGAAGCACATGTATGATTATCCTCTCAATCTCATTGTTGCGTGTCATTTCTTTTATTATTGGCTCCATTTCGTTTATATCTATTTGATTTTGGTATGATGCTAAATTTTGCCGCGGAGGAGCTAGGACCTGATATGAT